AAAAGTAACCCCTCACTGGCTGAAGCCAAAGTGATTTGTTTTCAAGATGGTGTTAACTTGCAGCTGAATGTAGTATCTAACCATAAACCTATTAGTTTGTCACATTTTATCCATGTTTCATGTTTCTTTGAAAACTGTATATTCTTTAATATGTAGACATAGGGCATATGCATATTAATACAATCTTATTGTGTTATAATATGTACTGATTTTTTTTCTTTTAATCCTACTTAGTGATAGAGGCATAGTAAAGTCTTCCATTATGACTATGGATTAACATTCTTCCTGTAATTCTGTCATTTTTATTTATTTTGATATGCTGTTACTAAGTGCATACCAGATTAGGAATTTTCTTGTAAATCATTCCTTTTATGTAGGGGTCATGTTTTCGTATAACAGAGCATTGATGATAAATGATCAAACACTGACATGGCACTTTAAGAATGCCTTACAAATAACAACTATTGAGTGTTCCTTAAGTATGTTGGTTATTATCCTACCTCTCCGTGAGCAAACTGGTGTGGTGCACTTATGATATTTGCCTCAGTTCACAGACTAATAGAGAGCTCACATTTGAACCCAGACAGCCCATCCTCTTGACCACTAACCTACTGTTGAGTACATTCTATTGAACTACTTCATCCTAATGGGAAAGGGGTAGATTATAGGCAGAAAACTAAAATATTCTAAGATTTGAGGAGACTTGAAAACTTAACACATTTATGTAAAATAGGAAAGTAGACCCCTCATTTAAGGGACATTGGAGCAGAGACCTTGATTAGGTGGGACAGTGAGATGTAAATTTGTGTGGCAAGAGCAGTCTTGGCACACACAGGCCCATAATGAGGCCAGTATGGTGACAGGAACGTGTCGGGCTGGTGTTGAGGGAGAATTGGAGAGGATGTGGTCAGAGCCATGATGGCGCTGATCTGGTTTTCTGGGTCATTGTTAGGACTTTTCCTTACATTCTCAAGTCAGTTGTGGAAGCAAGAGTTGTGGACACAATTCAGGGAAAGCAAAAAAGTACAAGGACCAGTATCGAGAAGGCAGAACTCGTAAATCATGGCAAAAA